AAAGATGCCACCAAGAAAATCTTGTTCCACCGGTGAATGGTTTGTCCTCGAGGATCCAATATTTTTCGCTTCACTCTCTCGTAATCCTCGGAAAACACTCTTCGCAGCACTTTAGCTTTCATGGACTTCCCTGTTTTCTCAGGCGTGGCTTTTGGTTCATATAGCTTATTCCCATTAATCTTGTAGTTCAGTTTAACGTTTCCATCGCCTTTTACCATAGGGAGCTTTGCTAGATGATGATCCTCTTGAAATCTGGTTGGTTTAGAGTGAATGTTAGATATTGAAGATTGAACGTACTTAAGAAATGGCTATGTACTAAAATGGCAAATCAAATGATCATGGTATTCAGAATCCAAAAAACAGCAAGAATTTGGCATAGATTCAGGAACTAGGAAGAGACAAACCTGACAGCTCTTGAATTATCATATCCCATAGTGCTTGAGTACAAGTTCCTTGGTGAAAGCCACAATTGATCACGGAAATCTATCATACAAGAAGACTGGTATATGTACTGATCAATGAGCCATCCTTTTCTTTTTCACGAGTATCTACTATCAACTTGTGAAATCAGAAGAAAGTGACTTGGGATGCCCTCGAAGCCACAAGAGTCAAAAGCCCTTGTATGGCTTTCTTTAGCCATGAATCATGTGAAGAAATAAAATAAAGATACACCAACTTGAAGCCTGAACCTTTTGAGCCTTAAAACGCCTTTCTGTGACAGAGTGTAGGTCAAAACGTGTGACCTATATACACTTTAGAATGTGAACTCCAACAAGTCGAAAACTTTTGGTCTTTCTTAAACTTTGCAATGAGCAGAACCTTTAAGACTGAAATGAATCACACATTACCATGACTCTATATATCTCCAAAAAAAGGAAAAGGAGCAATTTGCACATAGACTGAAAAGTAACCCAGATGCTTGGACAGCAACAACTTGCACAAGAAACCTCGGAAACCAATTTGCAGTAAGGAAAAACACTTGGGCTTTAAAAGAAGACAAGGCCAACCAATTCAAGACCCAGATTGACTTCAAAATTCAAAATCCTCAGTCTGGTTATCAAGCATGAACTGGAGAGAGAGAGAGAGAGAGAGAGAGAGAGAGAGAGAGAGAGAAGAGAGAGAGAGAGAGCTCACAAGTGTATTGCTTTTCTCAGTAGCTGACACCATGAAAGTCGCAGACTTGCAGACTCGAACTTCACTAAGAATGCATAGATCAGCTCAGAAAGAATTCGGAATGGCATTTTTCAACTCCGAGATTGGAGGAGGGAAGGAAGATGCCAAAAGTGGAAACTTTGGCAAAATGGGAAGCGAGGATCAACTTTCAATGTTCACAAACAGTACGAAGCCGACCCTCGTTGTGATCGTCGCTTGTTACAAACACTCATGACCCATCATGAGTTGTGCAGCCCCCTATGTTAGACATTTCGGAATTTCAAGAAAATGACAACGCACCTGATCCATCAGCATTTAAAAGCTGGCCTCTGTTTTTTTTATTATATAATCACTAGAGAAATGCGAAAAAGGACAAAGAAACGGGTGACAACAAGAAAAAGAAATTGTTGGGTCGTGGCTTTCGTTCTTCTTTTGCAAAGATCAAAAGTTGACTTAGTTTGATACGCATAGCTATGGAATCTTGACACGTGTGCTCACTTCTTTGAGCCAGGCCTTCATTAGTGACAGAACTTGCTGCTTGCTCCGCTGGGTTACATCTCTCCTTTGTTAATCAACGCACATTTTAGCATTAAATTCGTCATTAAGACAGGTAACAAGAAAGATGTCATAGGGACGAGCACTCTAAGAAATCTTCAATTTTTACGATCAACCGGTATAATTTGTGATTTGGTCCGCACTAGGCCTATCTTTCTGATATAATGAGTTGGCCACGAAAAGACTGCTTTTTTATTGGGGAAGGGGGTCAATACACTCCTTTTTTTTTACCATCTAGATGAGATGTGAGAGGAATGCATTGTAATAATATCATCTTCTAAACAAACACGTTGGAAAATATGCGCAAGAAATCAAAGTCCAAACCGTCTGACATGCCGTTCATCGAGTGTAATATCCAAAAGACAAATCTTGCTGTTTCCACGTTGAATCCGCTCGAAGAAGAAGCAATCCCTTTGGTCGTTGATGTCCATTGTCATTCTAATGATCCGCCATTAATGTTCCTTTTTTTTTTTTTTGCTAGAAAACCATTAATGTTCCTTATAAAACAAAGAGAGAGAGAGAGAGAGAGAGGGAGGGAGGGAGGGAATCGCAAGGCAGAAGCAGAGCAGAAAGAGTTTTACTCTTTCTGGATTTATCGTTCGTACTGGGTAGACGTCCTTTCACTTCCCTCCGGACCAACCTCGAACGAAGATTTTCTAATTATCTCATCCTCTGGAGCTAACTCAAACCCATTTTGTATTGCATCCAGGTAATAACAGAGCAATTAACACAACACCCAGATGTGAATGAGATCTGGGCATGGTCTGAACACTGTCGAAAGCATGGAAATTCTTCCTTGAATCGAACGAAGTGGATGACAGATGCAGACATTGACTGGTGGTGGGGATTGGTTATCCTAACCAGGCCGCAAGTGGGTCCCCCCCACAATTCAATGTTCCTCGTCCTCGTCCGATTGGCGGTGGGAAGTCTTTGCAAAACGCAAGCAAACTCCTCTACTTGGCCATACAGAGCCTCGACTCTTCATCAGTCCCTCAGTTTACAGAATATTGAAATAGTTGCCCATCTGCGATCACGAAGCGCCCGAATTACGCAATTTTAGGGGGACTAATATGTTATTTCGTATATTTATTTCTTGGGGAACGATGGAAAATTTAAGGTTTAAAAAGCAGACAAGCCAACGAGACCTCGGCCCGAACCAGCTCCTTTTGTTGTACAGTCGAAACCGAATGACCACCCCCGCATTCAATGATGTCCTCTCCTCACTCAGCCGCCGCTTCTTCAATAATGTTTTTGCTCTCATTCATAGTCCCCTAATTTTCTTCATTTTCTTCTATTTAGTAGTGCTAAAAGAAAAGAAAATGTAATGATAATGTACGCATCTCGAAATGATGGAGGTAGAGAATAATGGGAAAGTGACGAATCCGGTTTTTGGGGTTTCGGAAATAAAATCAAATCGTTAGTGCAGTAAAAACGATATGAACGAAGTTGTGGATGCGCGAGAGATATATAGGTTGATGCGATAAAATTGAATGTATTTCGGATTGCAATTTAGGCCATTTTATCATAACATACTAGGCATGTTTTTATACTAAATTGAATTGTAGCTGTAGACTCTCGCGGAGTTATTTCGTAAAGGTTGAATTTTTAATCAAGATGTTACTGAATTTGCTTTATGTAGGAGAGATGTAGAAACTTTTAATGAATATGGGAGTCAAATTGCGGAGGAGGCCAAGCGTTTTGTGTATTTGCACTAAGGACCCTACACTTACATGTGTTTGAGTTGAGTTGAGACACCAGTGATGTCAAAGGCATGATTTAGGTTGAGATGTGAGTTTTAGACATTGAAATAATCCGAGAAAATTGCTAGAAGCTCGTTCATGCTTGTAAGCATTTTGCTGTGTGTAAATTCGATTCCTCCTTTCTTTAGCTGTCCGAACATAGTATTAAGGACGAAAAATGTAAAAAAAATAAAAATAAACAGGACTTAACGTGTAAATATATAACTTAAAACATGTAATTGGCGATGACCCCTTTGCAAATACAAATGTGGGTATGAGACCCAATTACAAAACCCATCACTCTTTTTATATATCATGAAAAGTAATCAGTTACGTAATTATGTTGATAAGACCCATATCTCAACTTAACCTCCGAAAATTAAAGCAACCCAAGACCGTGATCGCTCGTAGTTTCCAGGTTTAACCCCAAATAATAATAAAAAACTGTTGGAATTCAGATTACAGAAATAGCGGATCTCATATGAATTTCGAGTACGTCCTATTAGATTTGACGTTCCAGGCTTGATTTAATATGTGTACTAAGCACACAAGATACTTGCTCGAGCTCTCGCCGGCGTCCACACGTAATGTAGTAATAGATCAAATAAACAAGAACAGAGACCGTCTTGTCTCTTCCGAGGTCAACTTATGTCCTATTTTTAAAAATCAAATGGACATTGGACCATTAAAGAAATTTTAAGCGCTCCACCATTGATATAATCCTAATCCAATTCCAGCCTCATCAAAGAACTTTTAGGAATCAATCTCTGCTCATGTATCAAAGTATAAACTCACTTATCTCCAAATACTCCTCCATTTGGGACATAAAAGGCTGACAAGCAGCTTGTTCCTCATCACCAGCCCTTAGGAGCGTGCAATTCATACAACATTACTGATTTGGGGTGCAAACATTGCTATCGTATTACTCAACCATCTGAAGTAATTTATCTGTCTCAGCCAGACCAAGCTTCGAAGCCGAACGATTTCGGGGCGGATCTTGACTTATATTGCAAAGTCTCCAATTCGATCCCATCACAACATTTGGATTGTGACATCTCACAATTCTTGGCATAGTGGCAGGGAAATCCACATCTTTAAATGTTCCTTTCAATATCCCAGAATTTCAAGAACGGTGACAGTTGCGCTCTTGTCGGTTAGTCAAAGCGTTCAATGAGCCACCGTCGAGTTAGTCAACTGGTATTAGTTCGTGTTCGAAAGTGCTACATGAATCTGGAGTCAATCGGTTTCAAAGAATGGTTTAAACTCATGTAAGCGTTAGATTCTTGTATTTTGTAGCAGTAATTGGCATACATATGGGAAAAAAGTAAGGCCCAGATGACAAGTTCAAAACTAGCTGAAAGATCCGTTCCGATACTAACTAGAGAATGAAAAAAAAAAGTGCCGATTGACTCCTAATCTCTGGGAATTATTTTTTAGCAATGAACCTAGGAAAAGCCTATTTCTCTGCAAAAATCCCAAGTCTTGCACAGTTCAGACCAGTCTCACATTTGAGATTTCTCACTGAATCAGTATTACTAACACAAAATTCATCAGTTAGACAAGAAAAAGAAGAGGCTCAGCATCAGAAAGGCACAAGATCCGAGCTACTACACCAACACAACGGAGATAATTAGGGACGCACAATGTCTAAGCACTTTGCAGAGTGGAATCAAATCAACACACAATTCTGTACCCATCTCAACAGTACAAAAACAAAAATTGCGTTTCGAAATACTCAGTGGCAATTGTTTTCCGGAAATGTGGAAAGCCTCACGGCGGGGGAGGCCCGGGCTCGAAGAGAGGAGGGCAGCAGCTTCGGAACAGGCCGCAGCAGCACAGAAACCACATGCTGCACAACAGGCCAACAAAAGAAGAAAAGAATCAACAATAATGAGCAATTATATTTGCACTTTCACATGCGGTGTCATGCAATCGATGTTAGTTTGCATGCATTAAAATTTTTTCTCCCCTGGCAATGGACCTTAATATACATGTTTAGGTATTTTTGTTTGTTTCGATCAATATGTAGAGTTGAAAAGAGCGGTGAAGAGAGAATCATCTTACAGGCAGTCCAAGCATCCTCCTCCACCGGGTGGCGAGGCGGGTCCGAGAAGCGGTGCACTCGGCGGTGGCGGTGGATCCATGGCCGACCCAGAAGAGAGATTCGACACTTCCCCAAAGTAAGAACAGGAAGCTGAGCGAATGAGACTCCTATCCTTTGAAGTTAAGATGGCTTTTATATCATAAAGTTCCTCCTACTTACCCCGGGTCATGGCATTCATCTACCAGTCAAGCCATTGGACTAACTACCCAGGTTTTGGTCATGTACATCAAACTAGTTGCGTATGAATTAAGACTAGTACGAGATGCATGTGGACGACAACTTGGGATACTCACAGAAAAAGGGATAATTTAAGAAGAGTTGCGAGGCAATGTGGATGGTTAATGCCTCTCACTTCTTGATTGAATCTGCGCAAGAAGATCAGTTTCAGTACCCTGGCATTCTTTTTCTGTGCCGGTTTTCTCAAGCAACAAGTCTCGTTCCTATTGCATGTGCCCTGTAGGCTTTGTTGGCTGGATCTGTTTGCGTTAGAAAATGTTTTGAGTATTGACCGGACTGATAGCTGAGTCGTGTGTATTTGCTTCAATGTCTTGACATTTCAAACTATCTCTGTCATTGAGTCTAGATCAAGTTTTCATCTAAGATGTCATGACATCTAATTGCTAGCCAAAGCTATGCATGCAATATATATGTTTACGGCTGTTGCAGTGCAGCAATGGATTCAGACAAATGGTTCGGGTAAGAAAAAAGCTTCGGCAAAGAGAAAAAGGGAAAATTACCAATTCAGTCCTCAACCTATTGCATTTGTGCCAATTCAGTCCTAAACCTTTTGCAAACCAGCCAATTCAGTCCTTTTGGCCGGCCGGCGCTGACGTGGCCGCCGGCCGGCTGACGTGGCGCCGGCCGGCGTCCACGTGGCAATATTTTAATATTTTAATATTATTATTTTTGAATTTTTTTTCTTTTTTCTTTTTTTTTTCTTTTCCTTCTCCCCCTGCGGCCGGCGGCCACGTCAGCGCCGGCCAGCCAAAAGGACTGAATTGGCTGGTTTGCAAAAAGTTTAGGACTGAATTGGCCAAATTGAAAGATTTAGGACTGAATTGGCACAAATGCAATAGGTTGATGACTGAATTGGTAATTTTCCCAAGAGAAAAAACTAGTAAGATAAAGCTGTGTTTTTCTCACCTCAATCATCCTACAATCCTTGCGCAACGTCACTCATTTTAGTTAGTAAATTGAAAATGTTCCGTTGACACTGAACCCTGAGGCATCTTTCACATATCACATCTACAAAAAAGTGGCATAATTTCAGATTTCTATCGAATTTCAGATTTCTATTAATAAAAAAAACTAAGATTTCTATTGTTAACTTCTGTACAAGCAATTTGATGAAGAATGAAACAACAAAGAAAAAGGTTGGTACCCACCCACCTAATTCATCCTATGTTTTAAGAGGGAAAGGGAAAAAAAAAATAAAGAAAGAAGAGAAGCTTAATGTATCTCGTAAACCTATGTATACTCAATAAACAAATTGGCCAAAAAGAAGCTGATACATTGCAATGCAGGGTTACAGAAATCATGTACTCACTGCTGCTCTCCTCCCCATGAACCAACTCAATGTGCCTTCTCAAGGGGACTTGCAGTCACCAAGCAGAAGGATTCCAACCGAGGTTCAACTAAGTCCACTGTATCATCCTCGTGGGAACGCCAGCTCCTGGCTTTAGAGGAGAGTAGAATCAATCTCTCTACATGAGTGGAGGAAATATCATTTTCATTGTTTGCAACCCAAGGATCTTGGCCGACGTCAACTGGTAGAGAACATGGGCTGGACAACCCGTTTGACGCAATATTTTTCAACTCTTCTGCATCTATAGGACTATTTACCAGTTCGCCAGGTCTTTCTGTAATCAAATCAGATTTCATGCTCGCAGAAGACCACTGCACATCAGAGAAGCACCAAAAATTCAATCGGAGCGACGGGCAAATGCAAGAATGCAATGATACAAATAATGGGGTTCAACAATCATCAAGTGCAATTGTTGAAAGAATTTGAACCACCTCACCTGAAAAAGGCTGGCCTGTATGTTTCTCATTCTAGATTTATCGGGTGCAATTGTTGAAAGAATTTGAACCACCTCACTCATGGTTGGCCGAGAATCAGGATCCAATAACAGGCATTCCTTTGCTAGGTAAGCCATTATATACATCTCTTCTTCGGGGAAGTTTCCTTTCAGCCTGGGATCAGGCAAATCCGAAATCACTCGGCCACTGTCTTGTAAACGTGGTGTAGCCTGAAACATTATAGAGAGAAATTTAGTTAAATTTGTAATGTAATAATACTCATCAGAATCTATGATAAATTTGGCAACAGGATTATATAATTTCCCATTGAAGTTGAAATAAGCACCAGTCGAATCCAGCTATAAGTGATAGAAGTAGAAACATCAAGGAACCATGTTATGATTGGCTTCAACTAATTAAATAAGATCTTAGATGGAGTTTTGAGAAGTAAAACCAGCACGGAAGATCCTTTTGCAAGAAAAATCAACTTAAAACTCTGCTTTTCACTGCATAATATGTGAATTAATAATAACTCTACCCATATGACAAGGCTCTCTTCTCCTTTGCTGGTTGATTTATGGATTGGATGCCGACCAGTGATGAGCTCAAGAAGAACCACCCCAAAACTGAAAACATCAGATTTGAGAGAGGCTCTCCCAACAATCGCGTACTCAGGAGCAAAATAGCCAAAAGTCCCCTGCATCCTTGCTGGAGAATTGGAACCGCTGGGTAGGTCATCAGCTTTTAAACATTTAGCCATACCAAGGTCAGTTATCTGCATAAAATGTAATTGTTATCATAGTGTAAGAAGGGGTGTATGAATATATTAACTAGCAACCTCAGTTACCAGAAGAAGCTAAAATAGAGATATGACTAGAATCATCAGATGCATTTCTAAAGTTAAATTGCACACTATATTTGATAAAATAGAAACCCCCCCCCCCCCCCAAAAAAAAAGAGAAACTAGACAAACATTGGTATTACAACTATGCAAGAAGATATTCTCACCTTTGCCCTCCAATTCTCATCTAGAAGAATGTTTGTGGATTTGACATCTCTATGCAGAATTCTTGGAGCAGCTGCCTCATGGAGATACTCCAAACCCCTCGCAGCTCCAATTGCAATTCCAACACGGGTATCCCAGCCCATATTCTCTCCTATTGTGCCATCTAGACAATCTCTTAGATTACCGTTGAGCATAAATTCAAACACCAGCAACCTTTCAACGTGTTTCCCTTGAAATTCTGAGCAGTAACCGAGCAAAGGCACCACATGGCAGTGATGAAGTCTTGATAAGAGGTCCACCTGAGCAAAAAGATCCAGTATGAATGCCAAAGGACGTACAATTTGAAATACAAGAAATTGTTGTGCAGTGACGAGGTACCTCGGTTGAAAACTTCAAGTCTGCATCTGGACCTTCCTCGTGCTTAAGTCTCTTAATAGCGACAATTCTGCCATCTTTAAGCTGTCCACGATACACGTAGCTACTTCCTCCAAGTCCAATAAGATTTGAACTGGAAAAGTAGTTGGTTGCATGTTCCAGTTCAGAGTAGGCAAACTGAAGTAAGATACCATGTACAGTTCCGGATTTGTGTTTAACAAGGAATGCAGCCTTGTAGAAGCACCCTGAAAGTGAAGATACAAACATTGATGACAGCAAGCAAGAGCAGAGTATTTCATGTAATCAGCACGAATAAAGAAGCTCTAGTCAACAAATTTAGCGAACTGCTTCTCTTTGAATCAAATCAAAGCAAATAGCGAACTCTTCTCTTCAATGAGGAAAAGTATATCACCAACCTACTTACCTATGAAAGAATTGATAGGGGAAGAAATATTAAATTTAGCTTCTCGAGTTGTTGAGATCTGGATTAAGTTAGTGGCACTATTGCAACTTGTTTCTTTGTCTGATGAGAACACAGGTGACTGGATTGGGCACTTCTCCTTTCGGCAAAAGTAGAATATGATCGAGGCAAGGAATGCGATAGTTGTGAAAAGTACACAGATTAATAGGACAATTATGACAGCTCTGCTTGAATTGTGCTTATCTGAGGCTCGCACCTCATTAAGAGAACCTGGCAAGAACAAAATGTCAGTCAGAATGTTTCGCTCTATATCTCGTACATAATCCAGAGAAGTAGTTTATTCAGATCCTGAAAACCATCTCAATCCGGGGAAACATATCGAGGTATTGGAGAAAAAGTATAAGAACAAGCAACCCTGTATGAAACGACAAAATGTGGAATCTAAGGACAACTTATAGGAGGTTTAGATGTCATCAAAGTCCTCTTACAAAGCAAAACTTAGGTATTTACAGTCATAGATACGGCCAAAAAAAAAAATCGAACCTCATTGTCTAGAGGAAAATATGAAGAACAATTTCAGCAGTAGCCACCCAATTAACATTTAGGAATTTGTATTGACTGTTGATATAAACAACTAGATAGAGTTATGCAATTCCAACCGCCATATCATTCCAAAGGTCAATGGCTAAGGGCCTGTTCAGAGTGGCTGGGGCTTCCTATCTTTTGGTTGTAGCTGCAACTTTTATGGAAATTACATGTTTGGGAAACCTGACTTTAATTAACAATTGACCGATGTTAAATGACGGGTTTGTTGCTGTCCAACTCAGACAAACACTAGTTCAATAATTCAAAAGGATTGTGCAAAAGGAAAAGGACAGTTGTGTTACCAGCAGTGCAATTGCAGGCTGTGAAGCAATTGGTATCATTGTTCACAGATGCTATTTTGGGAAAATTGTCCATGCATCTGCATGTCCACATATTTTCACTCTTTTCTCCACCTGCTGCAGAGAAGTCGATGGAGTCGGCAATTAGATATAAGACAGCAGTCTAGCATTTAGGCACTCTGGATCCATACTTGCAAGCGACAGGTTGAAATACAAAGAGGTACAACGAGAGAGAGAGAGAGAGAGAGAGAGAGAGAGAGAGAGAGAGAGAGAGAGAGAGAGAGCACAGATAGTGTATATCTGTCGCCCCATGCATAGAGCAGTTGCACTGTTTCGAAAAACATCAACACTAAAATTCTCGTACATCAGACAATAACTAGCATTTGATGAACAAATCTTCCACAACATTAATATGCTCCTGAATTAGAAGTATCTGTATAATAGAGAAGTGACAATGGCTAACGCTAACGTGCGACGGTGAAATTCTCTCGTCAGCAGTTGAATCTCATGAACCTCCTAGTAGGATTAAAGCATTGTATAGATTAGGATTACCAAAGGGTAGAACCTTTTATTCGATTTCATTTACACAGAATTGCACATCCAAAAAAGATGAGAATCTCTACATTGAATATTCCCCAGTGCGAACAGTAAGCTGCCAAAAGTTTATACCAGAATCAAATCAAACAAAGAAGGAACCAGTTCTTTGATAGAAGACATTAGGTGACAAGAAAAAATTAGGTAAAACATTTTGAAGAATCCATTCAACGTCAAGATAAGTTTAAAGCTTCTAGATCAATTTTTCCCTTGAAAGATAGGAAACATACCTGAAGTGCAATTACAGGATGCAGAGCAGTTAGATGAGAGAAAAGAGTTTTGGTTCCCTTGATTCAATAAGCATGCACATGTCCATTTGATTGTCCCAAATACATTAGAAGATTCATCTGCCACAGAAAAACAAGTTCTAAAATGAGATTATGAAGCCGGTTTTTTTTCTGCATAATGTAGTAGCATTTAGTCAACCATGGAAAAATCATAGACAGCATAAGCAATATGGAGAGAGCGAGTTGCCACAAATTATTTGTGTGACATTAATCAGAGGCATTCTAGTTCTTTTAAAAAATTTGGCTAGGAAATGAACATCATTCAATCATTAACTTTGCAGCAATCACTGTGTAAATCAGTTCTAACACCCTCAACACCACCGGTAGAAGAATAATGTAAATAAGCTTTTCTAACAACCTGAGGTAAATTTTGAGCAAAGTCACTAATGAAGGTAATTTAGTTGCCATGTTCTTCAAATGGAAAAAATATAACTAGGTCTATATTGTGCAAAAGCTGTTAAAGGAAAAGAGCATGCATAATGAAGGACTCCAAGGATGTCCACAATTTAGACAGGGCAAGCACTCATTTGATCAAGAGTAGAGTCAACAAACAATGATCCAACAGATCTATACTAACCACAAAAAATACGATGAATTGAGAGGAAGCCGGCAAGACAAATAACCGCAACTTCCACGTGGAGCTTCATTTATATCAACCTAAAGAGTGAATTGAAAGATCAGAAACTCAATGAGTAATTCCCAGACATCAGCTTTGAGTTGTTCAAAAGGTAAATAAACAAACAAGAGATTCTCCTTGCATATTTTGGTTAAGTCAGTTTCATTTAAAATCAAATTTGGTTTCTTAATAACCATCGCCTCTCCACATAAACAACCGGGTAAATGCTCTACGCAGGTTCTCCTGATTAAGTATTAAGGTTGAAGCAAGAAACCGATACTAACAGTGTTTCACATTAAAATCCTTCCAATGAGTAGATATATCCTTCATTAGCCATAAGATGTTCCTTTATCAGAGTTCATCACAGATTGTCAATCTGTCCAAAGAAGATAACAAGCAGGGCTAAGAATAACATTCAAAAGCACTTCATCTGAGAGTAAGGACACAATTTTTAGTGATAATGACCTTCAAAATTGGAAGTCTCTACCACACTGTAACAAGCGAAAGAAACCAAGTGAAAGTCCATGAGAATTTCAAGACTAATAACCTCTTAAATGCCACGTAAATCTAGAAGGAGCTGGAGACCAGTTCTAAATGATAGAGATGGGAGAAGTTCTCCAACATCTTCTCGAGACAAGGTGCGCGGAAGGAAATTTAAGAATATTAATTGTCCAGAGGTTTCCATAGTCAATGACTTGAAGTTGCAGAGAGCACAAGAGAGCAAATTCATGTTTGGCCAACGAACACTTTGGAGTGCTCATTCATCTCAATGTACAGTGGAAAGCAGGTGATCAACATGCACTATATTCAAAGTGGATAGAACATAGCAGTGGGTCGCCATTTAATGGTGGAGAAAACAGGCAGCATGAATTATTTGGTGTAGCTGACAGGAACGGAAACGTCCAACCGATGATGGTACGCAACTGTATGCCTTAAATGTAGGTGCAGTCGTGTACGCATATGCAATCCTGTCACTAAAAGTATTGTGGAGCTGTGGTGCATCAGAAATTAAGCTGTTTGGTCAGCCAATAACAAGGTCTCTTGAGGCTCGTCCAGACACATTGAAAATATAGTGATGAGTACTACACTACTCCAGGTGTTTAGTTGACAATTACAGTTGAGGTAAGAATGAGATGTTGGGAATAAAAGATTCTGTGTCTCAGAAGCTGAAAACTAAAGCGACATTTCATTGGGCCACAATTTGAGTAAACAAATTGATCGCACTCGATATTCGACTAAAGCATTTGAATTGAAGCCATGAATGCCAACTTACTCTCGAGCCTCGAAACTTCTGAGGACGTCCCTTCAGTGAAAGTTGTGGTCACTGAGCCTGTGCGAAGAGTAGATAGATTGAGACAATCATCCAATCAAGGAGACCCAAATAAGATTTCCAGACAAACATGTACTCCAAACAAGGGCAATGCTGAACAGTTATCTGACAGCAGATAAGAGTTAGATGGAGACTGCTGGCGTTTTGGGAATTTATTAACGGGAAAAAAAAGCTAGAAAAAAAACAAGTCCATCACCCACCCATTTGAAAGCAACCAATTTGTATTCGGGAAAGAGACAGGTCAACTAATTCCAGGGGCTCTGTTACCCTCTTTTCTTCGGGTCTTCCAACGAACGTATGCGTTGGTTCCTTGCGAAAATGGGAAGCTTTCTAATGAATTTCCGGAAGAACACAACCCAAGTCCCAACGGCTAAAAAGACTTGGCTTCAAAGACATAAAACATACGTTGCAGGGAGATGGACATATCGGAATTGTAATAGCGACATGAAGAGGGTAGAGTTTCAGCGTAGTAGCGCCGCCCGTGGGGCCCGACAGGCTCGGTGTCGGCTGTCGGGGCTTCGTTGCTGACCGCACGATGCAAGAGCCAACAACACAAGGGAAATCGATCAGGCGACGGGAGCCGTTGATCCGATGGAAAAAAGTCGTAGCAGCATCGCACGTCTCCAAACACTAGATTAGGCCAGGATGAGATTGGGGACAAACTGGTGACGTTGGCATCGGAAGGTCAAACCAGAAAACAAATCAGGGAAGTTCACGTTTTTAAGTTGGGACGAGAAACCACCAATTCGGATGGCGTGGAGGGCTAGCAAAACCCAGACTGAACCGATGACCATTTGATCAGCACAACGCGACATCATCGGCAAGAAGAAGACTTTCAGAGGCTTTGGACCGAAAGATGGCCGATGGGTTCTAACGACTTATGCAACACCAATCTAAATGCACTTGGATTCCACAGGAATGCCGCTCCAAGTTTCAACCGCGAGCGAAAAGTAAACAAAAATTACCTGGTAATCAGAGAGGCTGAGTTCCTGCGCCAGCACGCACTCTTCCGTTGGGCTAAAAACATGCAGAGAGAAGAGAATGGCTCCCTCGAAGGATCCGAGACCTGGCGTGAGGGGGCGTGAGCCCGGGACTTCGATGCGCTTCAAAGGGTCCGCAATGATCCCCCCGAGAAGTCGAGTGCGTGTAGTAGCTCCAAGAGCGAGAGCTCGAGAGAGACAGAGCTCGGACTCTGAGCGAGCGAGCTCCAAATGGAGAGTGCGCCGAACTTTGAGTTTTCAATTTGATGGAACACCCATCAAATCATATCAAATCATATCAAATCAAATGCAAGAAAAGCGCAAAGTGCAAAGCGCAAATGTAACTTTGGAAAAGAGAGAGAGAGACAGACAGAGAGAGAGGTGGAACGAGGGAGAGAGAAGAGATGATGATGGTCGAGCTCTGGTTACTGAAGTGACGAGAATTCTTCCCATGGCACTGATGACGAGGTGGCGACCTCTTCAGCTTTCTTTTTTTTTTTCGGGCTGGTGGACCCCACAAAGGGCGAGCTTTTTGTCCTTTTATTTATTTTTGTAATTTAAAAAAAAAAATTTCCCACTTTTAAGAATTTCGGTTGTGGATTTTGTTTTTTCTTCGGACGTGTCTGCTATCAATCTACTACAAAGAGCACGTGATCCGTGGGGCGCGGTCCTCCACGGTCCGTCCGTCGGTGAGCCATTGTCCCCCCCGGCCCCGCCCGCGCCCCTTGTGAACCACCACCATGTTGCTCCGACCGTGAGAATTCGTGCGCGCACACCACCTCATCTTTCATTTCACAAATCATACCCTTAAATTATCGATAAAATAACATGTTGTTGATTCGTCGCGATCCACGGGCGTAACATACTTATTGTATAATGCCATACATTCTAATGCAGACTACACTGCACGTACGTCGTAGCGACTTAATTCAGGCCACCCGCTTTACGTCGTATCGTCACATATGACATCATGATTCAGTACCCTAGCACCAATCTTCCTGTTTGATTGCCCTCTGTCGGCGGGTGATTACATTTCAATTTAAAGCATCGCCTTCTTGGGGGCTATTTGAAAGATGACCTTTAAGACTAGGACAGTGTCGGCATCTTTGATTCGTCATCAGATTAGACAAATCCATATATAATAATCCCAGATTGGATTAAACTTAATATGATGGGTACCACTTGATGGATGAGTTGAAGCCGGAAGTCCCGCCAGAATACGAAAGCTGATTCATCATCCTCAAAGCAATCCATGAAAAGTACAAGCCCTTCTCTACTCAATTTCGAAGGGACCGGGCAAGTCTTCGGCATGGTCCAACTCCAATCTACTAAAGAATTTCGCAGTTTTCCTGACTATCTTACTAAATTCGTTTTAACCTTCCGGGCAATCCCAAGAGAATGTCCATACTGATTCCACGAGTAAAACGAATATGCTTCGCGCTTGTGGATGATTCAAGAGTCGGGAATCAACTTCCGATTCTACCAGGATCTTTCGAATCATAACGGCACGATCAGTTCAGGATGCTTTCCACAGAGAAATTGATCGTGCCATCAATCATCAGTCGCCTCAAACGCAAATAAGTACATGCTTGTCACTTTTGAGTAACCAGATGCAAGAATAAGACTAATTGCCCCTTTTTTAAACAATCAAAATGATCATTTTCTGCGGATAGAAATCATTAGTATCTCATGCATTCAAGAAACTCCACCGACAAATCAAACCCCATAATCCGCTCTCTTTTTTTCCCTGTTGCAAACAGAAAATGTTAAGGGAAGGAAGAGGAAGCTCTTATCACTGAAAGAAGAATGAGAAGATTGCATCATATTGCAAGAGAAATACAAATCCAACTTTGCCCCCAGGTTACAGTGACGCTGCTATACCCACCTCCCTTCTCAAAATACGCCCCCTCCCCCCAAAAAAAGGAAAGAAAAAATGCAAGACATTCATAAACTGATCGTTGTATGTACACCAGTTCATATCAGGACTCCTAAAACTACGGTTCCAATGCCAAGACTCCTAGAACTAACTCAACCCAGTATCCCACAATTTCCATTGTTGACCTTTACCCCCGAGCCTTGCGTTTCTTATTCCTCCACTATGTTCAAAGAAGAAAGCATATGCTTTTCAAACCCACCCAAGACCCCTCCACTGCTTACTCACTTTAACCACTTGTCCGGAGTAAAACCTTAGTACCTCGACAAAATAGCAAAAGACCAAAAATGGCAAAAAAGAAAAGAAAAGAAAAAGAATGCGACAATCACATGGATTGAAGATCACTGCCAAATTACCTTAGACGAGGTCCAGGAAAAGATAGAGCCTGCCGAAGTTTCCTCCGAGGCATTGGATTCCCTAAAATCATGGTCTGAGATTGGGTGACCATGTCAACCATTGTCGGGGTCTGGTAAGCTTGCACAAGACTATTGCTATTTGTTGAATCACCTCGTGCAGTTGCCCTCTGCCACGAGTGGGAGCTCAATCCTGAGAGCACATAAGCTCTACCGGATGCCTCGTATACACGGCGATTGGCCATTCTTTCCTGCATCTCCTTCAGTTCCGCACAGAGGGAAGTACATAAGCGATCGGCGGCTCGTGCAGAGACAGTTTCGGACAATACCCTACGGCAATTCTCCAAGATTGAGACCGCAGCCGCCATATCACCGCGCTCAGCAGCAGCCCTAGCCTCTGCCATTGCTTCGGCTGCACGGAGTCTGTTGAGTTGTCGATCCACTTCCATGGATACCACTAGCGGCTCAGCTGTTTCTGGCCTCTGGATCTTTACTTCACTAGCTTCTTCCATGCGCACAAACTCTTTCGTAATAGGATCTCTGTAAACACAATTAACCTTCAGCAATGACAGCTCATGACCAGACTCATCGACTGGAATCTTGATTGTCACGAGGAAATCCCGTTCTTCTTCAGCATACAGATCCCCAACATCAACAGATCCCGCCCTTCCATCAGATGACAAGGTGCTCCTGTAACTTCCAGATTTAATTGAACTGAATTGCAACCTTGGGTCCGCACAGTCAACCTTCACCTGTAGCTCTTGTACGACCACGCTGAGAAGTCCACCTATGCATTGTGCAAATGCATCTTGGATGACATCTTCAGCTTCTATGAAGGAGAATGTCCCCCCAGATGCTTCAGCAATCGAGTGCATCATGGCAGCATCATGGTCTGTGCCAAACCCAAATGTGTGTACAGGAATCTGCAAACCTGTGCCATCTTTCTGAAAGATTGCCAGGGGGAGGAGACACTGCTGAGCTCTTCGATAATGGGAAGCAGCCGAACCACCTGGACTGCTGACATTGTATGTGTCTTGTCCGTCGGACAATAAGATGATGCTACCTACAGGATTCTTGCACCTTCGGTCTGATAAGACCTTGGCACCTTTCTTTAAGCCTTCGGCAATATTGGTCCCACCATTTGAAGTCAGAGAATTAACAGCCTGTAAAGCCTGCTGCCGCCCGATATCTGTCATCCTCTGCAGAGGAAAGAGACGGCGTGCTGTGGAGGAGAACGCGATGACTGAGAGACGGTCAGATTGGCCAAGGTTTTGTATTACAAACCCCATAGCTCGTTTCAACAAAGCAAGTTTACTACCGGCCATGCTGCCACTTACATCAAGCACGGTTACTAAGTCGATGGGAGCTCGAGAATTCTGAGTTTGCAGGGATTCGGCCTGAGTTCCACTGATATCCTGTCTCTTATTGGCTTGGGGAGCCTTAATATGGATTAGAACATTGAATTTGTCGGTAGATGTCGATCTCGGAACAGCTGGAACTTCTGGGTACACCTTGACCTCCATAGTTCCAAAAGAAGTGTTAAAGACATCAGGAGTACCCAATGTACTTTCCTCACTGCTATCTGGTTCACGATCCAATGGTTCATCATCGTCAAAACGACTTGGCTCAGGGCCATACAGATGTGATGAGATTGGCCTACCACCATCTAACCTGTTCCGGGGCAAAACAGTCATCCATCCGTCATCTTGGGCCCGACCTAGTGGATCAATTCTTGACCTTCCATTAGGAAGGCCAGAAGCAGGTTTCTGAAGGGGAATTTCCTTCCACTTGGCTCTACAGACAGGGCACACTTGGTTTCCATGTTTCACATTGGAGGTAATGCAATGGAAGTGGAAAGAGTGGGAGCATTCTGCAGTGAAAATAGCATGGCCCTCTCCTGGTTTCATGGTGTTTAGGCATATTGCACAGGTCCTCTGCATATCGAAAGTCCAAGTTTTAGAAGAAAGGTAGGGACATTGGACTCTAAATCAAGTACCATCTTCCTAATTTACCACTGTGAATGAACATCAATAAACCAAATGCCTCCCACTCAACCTCAGAATATGCCAAATCCAATTAATCACATAAGTAAGAACATTTCGTAAGCAAGCACAAGAACTTAACAAGTTTAATCGATTATTGAAACACTTTTATAGTCTTACAAACAAGACTGTTGAGATGAGTTCCTGATTACATTTAGGGGGATCCCTGAGAATCTAATTGGGAGCTGAAAGAGAGATCATAAGATCCTGGCAAATTTAAAATTCATAAATAAAAGTCATTAAAATTGAACTAAGCTTTTGACTTGATAAGTGACAAAACTATGCTGGTTTTACGAGGAAGGCTACAAAGAACAGTATTTAAACACTATACAAAGAATCCGGGTTCCTATGTGATTTTGCTAGATGTTCTTTCGGCGGTACATGAATTATCGCTGAAAGCAATGCCTTGACAGAAGAAAAGAGAGAGAGAGAGAGAGAGAGAGAGAGAGAGAGAGAGAGAGAGAGAGAGAGAGAGAGGGGACAAGACACGTTCACATAATTCATTATTGTGGAACACTGTTAATCGATTAGTATTCAGCGCGGCTTGACAAATTGCTTAGTGAAAATAACAGACGCAAGTCAGTTAA